ACAAAACAGGGCAGAAGCTAAATGCAGAACGTACGCAAATTCCAGGGTACAAAACAGGTGCGAGTGTTTTGGCTATAACTCGGACTACCTCAGTCCAAATCAAGTGATTCTAAAACCATACGAAAGCTAAGAAACACGGCTACATTTCATCAGAAGACCTCGACAACCAATTCGGAAGCATTCCCAACCAAAATAACCAATTACAGATGCAACTATCAAATTCGGGTAAAACCAGGACAGCAAGGGTAATTTTGACTTTTCTCACTCTACACTACTCTGATTGACCTGAAATTTTGTAGGCACCTCTAAAATGTCATTCCCTATAACTTTCATGTTTTAAGCCAAGGCCAATTCGGCCTCTATCTATGACTTATAAATTCGGACAGAATGAAGAACATTGAAACCTAGTTTTCCACTTTTCCTTCCAAAACAGAAATTGATTGCAATTAATCACTTTTTCCACCTCCTAGAGTCATTAAACATCATTTCCAATCATCATAGATAGCCACACAATCATGTTTATATTAAAACAGAAAAATCCCCAAAAATAATAAAACTTCATCATTTCAACCACAAATCAAGAAATAATCCATAAACTTGCATCTCATACTACCACTAAGCATGATTTAAGCATCATTAGAGGGAGGAGAATGGTTCTTCACAACTCACCTTAGAAACAAGAGAGAGAGAGCAATTGGTCACCTTAACTTTCCAAATAACTCCACAAATCAACTCACTAACACTAATTGAAGAGGTTTTATGGAACAAAGACAAGTTTAAATGGTTGGTTTAGTGATTTGGAGCAAGATGGAATCAAGAAATTGAAAAAGTTTTCTTTCTTTCCTTGCTTAGGAGATTCGGCCAAGAGGAAGAGAAGAATGAGGGATTTTTGGTGAATTTTTAAGATATTTAAGTCAATTGGTAAGACATGCAATAGTAGTCAAATGGTCCAACCAATAGCCAAGTGACACTTGTCACTTAATTAATGCAAGTCTATCACTTTTGTCTCTCTTATACCAATCCACTTAGCCTCCTCTACTTATCTCTTAACACCCGATAAATTAAATCCAGTATCCAAAACTTAACCTAGTTGGCCGAATTTTTTCGAACTTTTCGCGCTAGTGGGTCCCACGTCCGGTATACGCTCTTAATTTCTCAAAATCTATTTGATACTAGAAAAATCATCTAAAAACTATATTTACTCAATAAAAATTATCTGGGGAATTTTCTAATAAAGAAAATGTAGAAAAGGCGGGCGATTAAATAAAATAAACCCTAGAAAATTAGAAAATTTCCGGGTTCTTACAGGGACAATTATTAGGATTCATTAAAAAAGAAGGATTAGCATTATGCACAGAATTAAAAATGCAACAAAAGTATGGATCACAAAAACAAGAAGTATGATCATTTTGTGAAGCTTTTGGTATTCAAGGTATTAGATCACCTTCTGCATTAAAAAGAAAATCTTACAAAAAATCTGATTATATTAAAAAAGGAAGATTAAGACAACCTTCTAGGATTTCCAATGAACCCTATTATAAGAAATTTAAGAAAAGATTTCAAAACAATAGAAATATTACTTGCTGGAAATGCGGAAGATTAGGACATAAAGCTAATAATTGCAAAGTAAAGCAAAAAATAAATGAAATATTTTCAAATGATTCAGAATTAAAGGAGAAAATATTAGCAATTATGATAAATGAAGAGGAAGAAGATATATCAAATGGATCCGAGGATTAAGATGCTTGTAATTGCAAAGATAAAAAATATATAAATGTTATAACTACAAAGGAAGATAAAGAATTTTTATTAGATCTAATAGAGAAAATAGATAATATAGAAACAAGGAAGATGTATTTAGAAAAATGAAAAGGGATAATATTAGCAGAAGAGAAAATTCCAAAAATAACTGAACCCTTTAGTATTTCTAGATTATTAGATAAATATCCTATAGAAGGAATAATTAAAAAAGATACAACTCATTCTGTACAAAAAGAAATCAATGAATTAAAACAACATGTAAAAGTTCTACCAAGCGAAATATTAGAATTATACACAAAAGATTTAAGCTTAGAAACTAAGATTACTATATTACAAAGTCAATTAGCTTCAAGTTCAAAAATACCAATAGAACCAATTCAAAATCCCATATTAGAAATAGAAGACAGAACTGAAAACAAAGAAAAAGAGTATGTAAATATTATTGATAAAATAAATTATCAAAAATGGTATGGATTAGTCACAGTTCAAGTATCAAATTTTCAAGAAACATTAATAACTTTATTCGACAGTGGAGCAGATACAAGTTATATTAAAGGAGGAATAATTCCATTAGAATATTTAGAAAGAACCAATGAAGAATTATATGTAGCTAATGGACAACCATTAATAGTAAAATATAAATTAAAAGATGGAGTTATATGTAATAATAATTATTGCATAAAACACAGATTTCATATAGTAGAAAATTTAACAACTGATATGATTTTAGGAATTCCATTTTTTACTCAAATATATCCATTCAATGTAAATAATACAGGATTAAGTATTAATATAATGGGAAAAGAAATAGTATTTCAATTCATAAATATGCAGCATAGTCATAACAAAAATTAGGATAAGAAATAACCTTTGATTAAATATCTTATAATATCACAAACTACCCAAATTGTACATTATGAGAAAATGCTCCAATATATCACTTGTGCAAAAACAAAAATATAACTATGCAATATAAATACAACTATTTGCAATTAATAAAAGATAAAAGTTATGTTAGCATACCTTGAATTTCAACCTCTTTTCTTAAAAGTAAACTGAGTTTTACGTTCTTTCATAGAACTAAATTCATTTATAATTGAATCAGTACTAAATTTTTGAACAACTTCCTTTTTTTTATGTACATTGTTAGACAATCATTCACGAAATTATCTTTTATCTTGTTTTGTATCTTTGTTTTGATTATATTCATAATTGAAAATGCCCGTTTTATAGTTGCAATTGACATAGGAAGATTGAGAACAAATACAATCAATTTGTCAACAACAGGATAGATCACTCAATTTCTTGTCTTCACCAAGCCTTCAAGTAATTATTTGTATATTTATATATCGGTCAACAAGAGTATAGATCACTAATTTTAATTTTTTTTTCAATTAGGCTAAGTTGTATATTTGTATATGGACCAATAAAATAATTATTTTTGTTTTAGTCCATTGATAATTATGGATTGAGTCTTTTATTATGATATATCAAATTGGGTCAATTTACTATGGATTATCAAATTATGTGTTTAATTTTTTGAATGTTAAATAATTAGCACAATAAAAAATAAATAACTTTTTTTGAAAAAAAAATAAATCAAAGGTGGCTAATTCACACACACACACACACACACACACACATATATATATATATAAACTCTCATAATATAAACTAAAATTGTAAAAAATTAGGGGGAGCCAACTTTGTCTTATACATATATTTACATATTATGAATTAAAATTTCCAAAACATGGCCCCCCTCAGCCCCCCTTGGCTCCGTCATTGTACGTGAGTAAACATTTGGAGTTTTGGTGTTATAGTTCTATATCTAGCTTTTGGGCTTGGCAAGATTATGTTAGATGAAATGTATGATTTCTTGACAATTTTACACAATAATCAAGAAACGGTACTTGTCAAGCTATTCTGGTGGGAGAACCCCTAATGCAAACAATAGTAAGAAGATTACTAATACTGCTGAAAGGATGAAGAAGTGCATGCTAAATGTTGTTAAAGAAGTAAAGACTATTTGGATGAAAGTAAACTAAAAAATCATTGGAGGCAATCCAGCAACAAGAAGATGGAATAGTCTTGTTTACGACAATGGTGAGAAGGTATTTAGTTCTTCATGATCTACTAAATGATCCTCTTCTATGCATTATCAGGTTGCAGATTTGCAATATTTTACGCTCCCTAAAAATATCTTACAAAGAAAAACAATATTATAGAATTTATTCTAGCTTTCAAGTACTAAAATGCTATGAATTCTCTAGTGTTTGTGCACTTGTAATCTTAAATACTACATTATTACTCATAATATGTGCAAAATTAGTACAATGTTTAAAGATTGTGGGATATTAATATCACTTTTAATGCCTAGTATTGAAAGTTATGGAAATAAAAACATGTATATAATTACTACAATTTTTTTTTAAAAAAATTATACTACATTAATACCACTTTTGACTTTTACTTTTGTGTATTAGGCATTACATTTATTAAAACTATGTCATCTGAATTTGACCACATGTGTATATCTAGATATACAAAGTGCTATTTTGTGTATAACTAGAAAGATATATCATTATTATTATGTAATATTTTAAATTTTTTGAAAAGTTGAAGTACAATTCAAGAAGTATAACGTGCCAAAAGGTCATTGCATGTTTTATAAGGTCATGTGAAAAGTACAAGTATTTTTTGTACGTACCAAATATGGAAGTTTTTCTTAGTTATTAACACATATGTACTAGGTTTCTATCCCACATCGGTACTGGGGGGTAATGGGTTGGGTAGTTAAGTGCCTTGGACGTCTTCAAGAGTTGCCGGCTTTTGAAGATTGTTCAAGGACTCCGCTTAGTTAACGACTTCTTACTTCCGTAAGAAAATGTCAGAAAAAAAAAATTAACACATATGTACTAAGTGTGTAGGGATGTTGCCGAGACCGTACTTTTTTTTCTGATGTGGCAAAATGTTATTGGACAATTTGTGGTCGTCCTTGCATGTGTTTGTGCAAAAAAAAAAATTCCAAAATGCTGAGACCGTTGTCTTTGTAAATGAATGGTACATTTATTGTCTTCATTTTGGTTGTATACGATTGGACCACTTTACCATTTCTGTTCCGCCTTTTCCCATATGTATTGGGAAGTGATTGTCATCATTGCAATAACTCAGTTTAGTTGACTATCAGGACAAATGTATTCCAGTTTTGCCCTCCCATTATATTTTTCTTACCAGCCACAACGAATTGGTTTGCACTTGTCAGGAGGTCAATTTTTATTTACACTTGGGTTGCATTTGTAAAAAACCATCATTCCTTCACTGTCGACGGCTATTGAAAGGAGGACTGTGGCAATTTCTTTTGTTCTGTCCAACCCACCGCAATTTCTTTGTTCTGCCCAAGCCACCGCTGCCGGTAAAGCTATGGATTGTTGCTGGGATTTTCTGCTTATGCTAATGGTTAGTGATATGTTAAGTTTTTGCAGTCCTTTTTTGTATCATTCCTTTTTTGTTTTCTTCGGTTCTTACTTTCTCTTTTATTGCTCTGTTCCTCCGAAGCTTCTTCTTCATTTTGCTCTCCTTCATAAAGATTGGTCAGGTGAGCTTTTCCTTTTACTGAACTATTCCTTCTATAATGCTGTTTATTCCGATATGTTTTTTGCTTGGTCATTCGTATTTACTTTGTTTATGGGTGTTTTGTATTTTGTCGTTGCGTTAAGGTAAGCCTATTTTTAATTTTCTGTGTTCTTTGATTATTATTATTGGACAATTTGTGGTCGTCCTTGTCTGTGAGAATTGAACAATATTCGTCGGATGCGCTTTTTCTTTTAGTGAACTATTTCGTCTATACTCCTGTTTATTCCAATATGTTTTTTGGTCCGTCATTCATCGACTAATTCAGGTTTACTTTCTCTGTTTATGGGTGTTTTCTATTTTGCCGTTGCATTAAGGTAAGGCTATTTCAAATTTTCTATCTTCTTTCATTCTTTGTTCTACCTTTCATTTGTCCATTATTTGTTCTTATTTGTGTTCTGCCTTTTTCTCCTCTTTTCCCTTTATATTTTGCATGCAGCTTTCTTCATATGTGGTTGCTGTAACGAGCTTTCTTTCTTCGTCATCTTGTGTTATATATTTGGAGTTTGTATTGATTCAGGTTAGCTGAACATTCTCTCTCTCTTTTTTTTTTGGCTTTTTGTTCTACCAGTTTTTTGTTTCTTGTATTGATAAACTGCTACAAGAACATAGAATCTCCTGTTAAAAATAAGAACTTTAATTATGAGACTTGAAACCCTTCAAGACTTCAATTTGATTAACGTTTATTGATTATCATATCTAAAATCGTACTTGATCTTCACATAGGAAGATGTTACCCTTTTTTGAACAATATATTTTACATTGAAATATGAAGGCATGCATTTCAAAACCAAAAAATTTGAACAATATATTTTACCGTTATCCACCATTTCATATACAATTTATAAAATCATCACTTTCTACTTTATGCATCAAACTTTAGATATAAACGAAATCAACATCAACAACTAACAAACCATTTCTACTACTTTTCCATTTATAACTTTTAATGCTTGGACCATTCTAACATTTTTTACTTTCAATTTTCATTGTACGATTTCAACCTATTTCACTTCCACACCCAACTCTCATCTTAATCATTCCATACTTATCTTAATGTAAACTTAACAGCCTATATAGTTTACATGCTTCTTCTTACTCTAACATCACACCAACTCTAAATAATCAATACAAGTTAGGGCATAATTACATTGATCCCCCGCGCGTTGCGCGGAATCAGCCTCCTAGTACTTTACAAACGTGTATTATATGCATATAGTACAATTACTTCCCGACTAAGAGAAACAATATATTCATATAATATGTATGTTGGTTTTTTACTAGAAATTTTGAGTGCTACTTCTTAGTGAAAAACCTTGATATTTACATGTAATTAATTACTTTCCAAAGGATTTACATGTAGTAATTGTTCTGCACAGCAATAATTGAAGCATCCAGCAGGTTGAGCAGTAGTAACAGAAATTGACAATAAGTAACATGTAGTAATTCTTCGGACACTAGTACTTTTCTTTGTTATAGGCATGTATTCATTTGAAAGCTGATAAAGATTCTGGGCTGAATTTGTAATGCTTTTACATGTATATTATGCAGAATAAATGCTACCCTAATTCTCTTATCCCGGTACAGAATTTAATTTGCTTAACTTGTATAGAATTTAATTTGCTTCACTTGCAAGTTTTTACTGTAATTGAAGGATAATGTAGAGTGTATAAAAGTAAACATTGCACTAGTATGTGGTGACTGGTGATGTTGTTCTCGACTTAATTTATCCCGACAAGTTTCTTTGGCTTCCTTAGCGCTAAAACATAAACCAGTGAATTCATATTAGATTATCTGTTTAGTAATCCTGAATATGGAGTTTGAAGGAGACAAAAATTAACGTTATTTATTAACCTGTTTAATTCTTCTCTAGTAAAAGCTTTTGCAAATTTTTCTTGCATAATGTTTTAGCGACAAGTCTATTGGAAAACTATAAAGGAAATACAAAGAATGGAAAGGCAAGGCACCCTTCAGTTACTTCTCTTAAGTCGTAAATAAACCAAGTATGCAATTGTATGTGTTGGCTTGAGGGAGCTTAGAATGCAGCAGCATCAAAAAATGAAGAGTTTAGTGAAATCAATAAAGAAAATAATCTGTTGAAAGATGAAATTAAGGTTTTAAGGTACCAACTTAATTGGTTTTCTGGTCGGATTTACATGTAGTGGCGCTATATGCCAGTACTGCTTCACGCAACCAGGTGGTTTCCATTAGTAGTCTCAAAATTAGTTAGATAGAAGAGTCGTCAAAGGATATAGACAATACTATACATCTGTCAGAACTTATGCAAGCTGGGTTCGATTAATAAAAGCATCTGGACTAGTTAAGGGCTTTCACATTTATATGGTACGCAACAATGCTCTGTTTTCCTTCCCCCATACACTGGTAAACTAGGACAGGTCTTCTCCCGTCCTACTATGGCAACCTAGAAGCGTCGTATCCAATTTTTAGGTCTTATTACTGTCCATCAATGTAGAGACTCCGACTGAAGGCTATAGTGAAGTCTGTCCACAAACTCAAGTCAAAGGGGAAATATTGTGGAGTTAGTTAAAACTCAGTTTAGGGTCAAGTTTGGCTTTTCATATTGATGGAGCAAAAGCTTCCTTCGATTTCAACTTTTGGGTATGTTCTAAATTTTTTATGTTTATCTTAAGTGAATTGTTGTAGACCAAAAAAAAAAAAAAAGAAATTGTTTTACCCTGCAGATTTCTGTTGTTATTGAAGGATGATATGATAAAGAACAAACTAAATCAAAAAAGGCTAAACGGAACTTTAGCCCTGAAAATCAATATATTAGGCTTTGTTTGTTGGATATTTTAATAACAAAAAATGTCACTTGTTTATTTTGAATTCAAACGCAATAAATTACAAATTCTTTAATAAATTTTCAGCTACAAATTCGACCATCTAAAAGTGTGACTTATGTTTTTAAAATGAGATTTATGTCGTGAATTGTGTAACCTATGTAATGATTAGGTTTATAAATTTATTTAGTGAATTTTTACTGTTATACAATGCATATAGACCTTTTCAATTTATAGATGAAAATATGAGCTATTTATTCCACTTAATATTGGTATTTTAATACTTCTAATTTCTCAGCCTATAATAGAGGCTTCTATTAATCAAGTCTTACACATGTTTTGCAATTTCTAAACAACCTTCTACTTTTTTTCCTCTCACTACTATTAGAGTTTATAGGGCAAAGAACTGTGTTATATGAGGTTTCTATCTTGTTCCAATTGTGTAGATTGGAGTAGACTAGAGTGAGGAAAAAGTTGGGTTGTTGTATTCAGCAACGTACTGAAACCTATTACATCGAAAGATAATTAGTAGGGGCATGAATTATCTTAAAGAGAGCGACTTATCCGCACCTCAATCCATGCCAAACATACTTTAATGGTACAAATTATTTGTATTTTTATATAATATTGATATGAGGTGAATATTGTTAATTTCCTTGTTAAATTTAATTGGCAAAATATTTCTAACTAGTGTGATTATTTTTGCCCAAACTTTTAGATGACTGTTAATTAGTTTAATTTTGCTTAGCATATTTGTGATGTGGAACGCATTTTAGATGACTTTGGGCCATGATGCATCCTCAAAAGCATTCGGCCTTGTCTTTAGAGGCTTGGTTAATTAAGTACGAACTACCAAACCGACAAGGTCAGTTGCTTATGCATAATAAGTTGTGTGGGATTGGGCACCGTTGGGAAAGCAGATTGAGGAACTTGCTTGGACTTTGAATGTAAAGACCCGGGTCCAAAGATTGGCCCAAATAATATTTAAACCGAAATCTATTGGCCCAAACTAATTAACCCAAATTACTATATAACCCAAGCACCCAAGTTCTTAAACCATTTTTTTCCTCTTTCTCTTACCAACGTGAGATACCTCATTCTCTCCACTAATGTGAGATTCGCTATAATACCAACGGTAACGATTCAGGTCCAAGAGCTGACCCAAGTAATTTTTAAAATGAGAGGCACTGGTCAAAAATGGTTAACCTAAATTACTATGTAGCCCAAGCATCCATCCAAATCCTTAAATCATTCTTTTCCCCTTTCTCTTATCGATGTGGGATACTTCATTCTCCCCAGCCCGTCCTCACAAAGGAGATCATATCAGAATTCAATATGTCCACCCACTAGGCGGCTCGTATAGACTCAAGAGTCCAATTGTAATGACCCGAGATCGCTTAAATACCAAAATAACTAACCCAAATTACTATGTAGCTCAAACTTCCAAGTCCTTAAACCATTCTTTTCCCCTTTCTCTTACCAATGTGGGATACCTCATTGAAGGCTAGCCATTATTTTTTCTTGTGGCTGGAAAAGGTATTTGAGAACCATTGGGCACTAGTTCGGGGTTTAAACCCCGCCCAGTGCATCACAAGAAAGTGTAATGCTTTTTTATTTTTAAAAAATTTAAAAAATACAATGCTGTAGCTGTCTAATGCTGATTTAGCTTCCAACTCTCAACCCCCATATAAATTTTTTCAGACTCCCCCTCTCCCGTAGAGTAAAAGTAAAATAGATGTTGTCATAGCAGAGAAAAAAGAAAAGGGTATTTGAGCCAGAAAAATTGCTAGAAGTTGTAAGAAACGTCTGCTTAGGGCTTCGATTGTCGTAACGAGTCTATTGTTGGTATTAATATCCGCAAGACTCTGATGTGCATTGGCCCACAAAGTGGTTAACATTCAACAATCGAAGCATTGCGCTCAAATGCCAACTTTGCCCAGGATGTTTGGAGGGTGGAGATTAGAGTCAAGGTTGACAAGAATAGTCCAAGGAAGAAATTCAGCACTGTATTGAGGAAGCACAGGAAGGAGAAAATGACATAAAATGATAAAAATGGATAAATTGACAGTAAAGATGGGCTTGCATTCCTTCTGACCCCTTGTACAGCCAGTTGGATTTACACGTCGTTGACAAATGATATTTAAAAAAAAAAAAAGTACTCCTTGAATCTTCCAAACCTGTAGAGTAGAATAATATAGATATTGACGATTGATCTAAAACAGCAAAACACTTGTTACTACTATAATAGAAATAATAACACTCCTCAGATGTCTGCACTTCCTTGACATAAGCCCGAAAAGTAGGCCAAGTTGCTCACAAAACTTTCTTGTTTGCTTCTCCACGAGTCTTCAATCCTTCACGGCATGACCTTGTCCAACGAATAAATTCCTAGAGAATGTGAGTTTGTAATATAAATTCTCAAAGGTAGGTAGTTTCTAAACCTTTTTCCAAAAGATGAATAACGTATTCATCGAGTGTAATATTTCGTCAAAAGTTGCATAAAAAATGTGTTTTTTTGTTATTGTTTTAGGCATTTATTTCTCATAAATTACATTCACAGAACATGTTTTTTAAAGATTGCATTCACTAAATACGTTCTTTCAAATGGCTCCCCATTTGGGAACATTTCCCAAAAACCACCAACCTTTGGAAATGCTCTTCTTTTCCTGATGGTTGCTTCCGTTTCCCACCTGAGTCCAATTTGATGGCTAGACAAATTCGGTAGATAAATAGTCCCCTTTAAACTACTCTTTTAGAGGTCTACGCTTCTCATGATGTTTCTGGCGTTGGAGTCAAATCTTTCTTAGTCAAATTTTTAATTTTTCAATTCATATGGCGATGGTCTTCACGCTAATCTGAAAGGAGGGACTCAGTCCATGCATTATTTTACAAGCACTTATTTCTTGTTTTGTTCAGCTGGCTATTAGCAAAAGTTGGGTTTCTGGGCTGGCCGGAACTTGATTCTTCCCAAAACTGTCATCTTTGCTTTTTTAACTTATAATTCAGTTCACGTTTTACTTGTCTCTTCTACCAGCTTTCTGCTTTAAAATTTTGAACTTTTCTGGCCAACCAAATTCCTGTACGTATTATTAATCCTTCCTTTTCATTTTTCCCTTGGCCTTTGGAAAAAATCGAAATTTCGTTCTTCATGTATTTGCTTCCAATTCATATTCCTGAATTTCAAGAGAGTTTCAAGTACTTGTTGATGTAGACATGTAGTCATGGGAAAGTGGGAATTTCTGTCTATCAAAGTGGCTCTTTCCTTTTCTAGTCTGTTGTTGCTGCTTGAAACATGTATGGCCGGTGGTACTCCGAATGTAGGCAGGCTGAATCTGGGATTCCAGGGGACGCTAATGAACTGGCTAGACTATGAGGGGTTGTTTCTTCTTTCCAACAATTCCGCTTTCGCATTGGGTTTCCGACCCAGTCAAGATGTCAATAAATTTCAACTTGTGGTTCTTCACAAGGGCAGCTCAACAATCATTTGGTCCGCTAATAGAAACAATCTGATTCAAAGTTCAGATTTCTTCACATTCGCTAGAAATGGGGATGCTTACTTGCAACGTGGTGGATCCACCATTTGGTCCACAGATACCGCTAACAAAGGAGTTGTAGCAATGGAATTGCTGGATTCAGGGAATTTGGTACTTGTTGGCAATGATAGCAGTATAATATGGCAGAGCTTTAGCCATCCCACTGATACCCTTGTGTCGAATCAGGAGTTCATTGAAGGAATGAAACTTGTAAGCAATCCCAACTCCGATAATTTGAG